TTGGATGCTGTTAACTGCTGCCAATTACAGAAGAAAAAATGTTACATTTGCTTTGAATGTGTTAATAATGTATTTTATCTGTGGTGTAAAGGTGCACCATAGTCAGTCTCCCACTTAAACTTTCTTTCTTGTTGCCTCCTATTAATTAGCTTGTTAGCTTGAGGCTGCTGTGGAGGAGGGCCCACAGCTTGACAGGCCAAAATCCATATCACTCACAGCCTAATTTAAGATACTTTACTTCCCAGAGGAATCACACGAGAACGGTATAGTAAGGGTTGATGCCGCTGCTTCCTTTCACCACAAAGTGACGAACATGAGTCATGTTTTCTGTAAGAAAGGAGGTTGTCAGATACATATTTTCGTGTTCCTATCTTGACTTGTTTCTTAGCTTATGCTCAAACGTTATATGCGACTATAAATGGAATATCATCATATTATATCTGTTTATGTAAACCAATGGGCAGTGTCTAAACCAGGCATTCACTGACTATAAAAACTCGATAGCTGTGCTTAAAATACCATTTTTGTTGATAGCAGTGTTGGTGTTTTTATTTTATTTTTATTTTTTGCAGCTCTAGTTTGAACATTGATTTGTTTTCTGGAAGTTTGAAACTGTAACTCCATTAAATCATAGTGCATGATGTTACTGTGAGGAAACTGTAATAAAATACAAATCAGGTTATTCTGATTTGATATCTCACTGCCCTCTGAAGCCTCTGAGCTCACATGGAGAGATTATTGCTTCTTTTCAATCTCCCTACTAGGAACAATCAGATACAGAGATACATTATGTCAGAGTGAATTCAACATGGTTTCTTTTTTGTTTTTAAATGCAAACTTTGTCCAAAACACGATATCCAAATACTCTCACAAACAAACAAATACAAAGAAAGATACCTAAAAGTAATGAATATTATCTTTAATAGGACAGGAAATCACTTGTTTTGAAGTAGATTTAAGTAAAAGCAGCAGGTCTGGAGCCACACTTCCTGTTCTCTGAATTGAGGTGTTTTTTTCAGTCCCGTTGTCACAGACGCATATAATCAAGTGCCTAGCCACGCAGTCTGCCTTTACAAAAACATTTGTCATCATCAGCAAAAGAAAGTCTTAATAATATTACAGAAAGAAAAAAAGTATTGCATTAAAGAGAAGGCCATAGTAAATGTGTAAAGATGTTTAATGTAGATTGACTTGGTACTTTCTAATCAGCGGGGCTCATTGCACGCATGACCGCAGGATGTCCTGCAGCACTTCTGCTCTCCTGGACACTGACCAGCACACATGGAGGTGGTTTCAGGCAGGGGGCAGCAGCCAGCCTTCACAGATACACCAAACCCAAAAATATGATTAGTTACAAAATATCGTTAACCACTTGGTGAATTATTTAAAGGGTCTTGGCTGCTTTGTGCATCTATTACCTTTGTAGGGAGCCATGCACTCATGTCCGCATCCATTGGAGCAACACTTCTCAAAAAAGGGACAATCTCTGTCATTAAAGCAAGATTCAAGGCAACGTCCGTGGCCCAAGTGTCTGTGAGGACACACTCCTGGCTTTACTGAAATGAAAGAGAAATGAGTATAGACCAAGAACTCCAGAGAGTGTGGTGGGTTGTCCCTCTGAAAGATATCCTTTGACCTTATTGAACCCTGAATTGCAGTAAATTAATAAAAATCTCTTCTAAGAGTTTCTGGAAATTGTGAAACATTTGATTGTGTTTTAGGCTGTGGCCACCCTGTTTCTCTGAAGGATGCTTACTGCACTTCCTTCTTCTCGACTAAGGTATGAGTCTCATGGAGATCCAGTTGATTAATCTCTCATTTCAAGTTAGATTCCACCCAACGTGTACACTCCAGTTCCCAAATATCAGGCAAAACTTATACAGTCTCACACAAAATGATAGCAGTAAGTCTCTGGTCTGCAGTACACAAAGAAACACATGGTCATAAAGAAGACTAACAAGCTTTTTTTTTTAAAGTTCTCAATCTTTCATGTTTCATACAATCTCAAGGAAATGTGTATGAAATTAAACATTTTCTCTTTTTTGTGCACAATTGTTAGAGACAGCCTTTTATGACTTCTACCTATTGTAGATGACATGATAACAGATAACCTGTAGATCAGCGGTCCCCAACCCCCGGGCCACAGACTGGTACAGGCCCGTGAGTCGTTTGGTTCCGGGCTGTGAGAGTTGAAGCTCGGTTGTGAAATTTATAGTTTTTTTAGGGTTTCGTTATTTTTTATCGTTTTTATCATTAACTCGGTTTCCCTGGCTCTGTTCCAGTGTGTTATGGATAAATTTTCTTTTTTGGGTACTGGTACTGGTTTTATTTTGTTGTATTTATCCGTGGCACCTTAAAGGCTGGTCCGTGAAAATACTGTCAGACATAAACCGGTCCGTGGGGCAAAAAAGGTTGGGGGCCGCTGCTTTAGATAACTGCCACTTTGTTCGTATCTCACCTATGTCTGGTACCATGCACTCATGTCTGCATCCATTGTAGCAATACTTCAGAATAAAGGGACAGTCTCCGTCATCAAAGCAAGATCTAGCACAATTTGTATGTGCAAACTTTATTTTTAAACTACTTGTCATGAGAAGATTTAACCAAATATTTAATCCACACCCTTTTCAGAAGACATTAAACATAGTGACACGTACTGGGAGCAGGAGGGACGCAGACTTCTTCACCATCATAGACACAGCATATGTGGTCTCTAGGACAGTC